AGAGGGGACTAGAATTTTAGGACCATCTCTGATTAAATTATCTATTTGACAGAATTGTGAAGATTCAATAACATGATTTATGAACGAACTTAGCTCAATGCCTAGCATGTGGTAAGCATTTGATAGATATCAGCACTTATAATGACCGTTTGTTTCTGCCTACATCTTTTTAAGGCCTCGTCCAAGCCCCTATGAGCACATCGGAAAGTGCTTAGGGTAATTAATTTAGGAAAATTATTTTGTTGGGAATAGATCATAGAGAGGAAATATAGATAACATAAAGGCAAGTAGAGAAATGCCACACTGCCATCCCCATTTACAAATGGCTGCCATAGGGAGAACTGTTACTGAGGAAAATGTGTCAGATGTCTCAGGTATGTTGGGTCAGACAGCACTGGAACAGTGAGACCAGAGTGGAAAGAATAGGAAGAAAAAGTAGCTAAGAGGACTGCTTGTATTTTAGGTGTTTTTATTTGTGGTATATTACTGAATATAGTTCAGTAATGGTGATGTTCTTGTCAAAGATAATCAAAGAGGGCAGCATGGAAGAGTATTTGAGGCACCAGAGGTGTAGTGGAAAGAGCACTGGTCCTGAAATCAAGTCAGCTAGGTTCCAATCCTAACATTTTAATCACATGACTTAGATTAATGACCATATTTTGGTCCCCAAGCACCCCTTCTTGTGAAACAACAGTGCTGAATGACCTTAAGATTATTCCTGCCTTAAAATTCAAGAGTATAACTCTGAATATGAAAACGCCTGTGGGCTCTAGACCTTCGGATTCCCTGAAGCTTTTCTGCTTTTCCAGGAAAGTCTGCTGTTTTAGTCCTCTAACTTGTTTTTGCAATCCTGAAGTTCATGTTGTGTGAACAATGGTATCTCAAGCAGCATGCACAAAAGCAGTTGGTATGGTGGGAGTGAGTGACAGTGGGTGGATGGAAAGAGGAAAGGGTTGGAAGAGAGAGCAATGTGTGTGAAAAAGAAAGCAGTCCTTCCTCCTTTGACATTCTCTTGCTATATTCCCCAATAACAGCTATCTAAAGCCAAATGCCAAAAGGAGGGCATGAAAATAGCTTGGACTTTGGGGTTAAGCAGACCTGAATTGAATCCAATCTCTGAATTTGAGATGCCTAACTTCAATTTTCTGTGATACTTATAGTTAGCAGGTATTGTGAAGTTTAAATGAGATACTATTACCCAGAAGATAGTAAGTGTTCAGTAAATATTCTCTTAACTTGGCCTCCCAAAATTGGCTTAATTCTTTCCCCATCTGACCCATAAAATAAAAGACTAGTCAAAGAAACAAACCTGCAGGGCTGCTTAGAGATCTTTATCTAGAGGATGTAAACAAGGTGCGGGGTGGGGAAAGAGGGAGAGAAGGGTTCTGAAGAGAGAAAAAGCCATGGCCAGGAATAGAAAGCCCAGACTCTCCGTTAATGAAATCTCTTCCTTTATGTAGCCTCACAGTTCTTTGGTTCCCGAAAGCCACAGAAGTGTTTATTAGAATAGCACCCTTAACTGCTTTCCAAACACTTCATCCAGTGTTGATTCACCGGAAGATTCAGATTGAGGCACCATACGTCTCCTCGTCCCCACCCGAAGTTTGCTAAGCTGGATCCGCGCCTTGCTCCTCTACCCAGGAGTATGGGGTACCTCCTCCCAAGCGTAGTCCGGGGGAAGGAAGAGCACCTTTACCAGTCTCTCTACGTCGCTTGCTCCACCTAACCCCCTTTACTTGGTTCTAACGCGGTTTCTGCTTGTGGGAAATGCTGGCAAGCGGTGAGCCGCCAGTTCCCAGGCAGTGTTAGCTTCCCACCACGGAGAACTTTCAGCACCGCGGACAGCAGCCCTCACCGCAGTTCGCTCGGCAGCCCAGACTCCTGCTTGGGGCTATCTATCCTGACCTCGTGTTCTCCCGGACCCCTTACCCCAGGGTGGGGTGGGAGCCGTGAAGCGGGGGAGGCGGGTTATCATTTTGTGGTCCTTGGCCAACTCCCGCCAGTGGCTAGCTCCGCAGTTCTGTGAGCAGTCCTTCCCCAGAGCCGGTTCCTTTGCACCTCTCAGTTCAAGACCTCCTATGAACCGAGCTTAGAACAGGTAGTGGGGTCATGAGTGCCAGGAACAGGCGAGAGCCCTGCTGTTCCTGCCTTCCTTCTCCACCTTCCTTTTACTTCCAGTTATTTGGCGACTTCTATCTTACTCTTCAATCACAATATAAAATACACAACTCGGGGGTGGGGGTGGGGGTCAGAAGGGAGAAGGTGGTTTGGGGCTGCGTCCTGCGAGGCCACACTGCCCTACGCTGGCCCGCTGGATTCATAAGAAACTGCTGTTCTTTGGAATGGGGGGAGACAGGAGGTTCTGACGGGGTGAATAAGTGAGGGCGAGAATCCTTTCCCGGGGCTGCCCCCTCTGGCCAGGGACCTTTCCTGGACACTTCCCCCATCACGACTTCCTCTCTGCTGCCGGTGTGTCACCTCTCTCTGGGGACAGACGTCCCTTAGAGCGCACCGGCCTGGTTAGGGCACTGGGCTCAGCTGGAGTCCCTTTGAAGAGTTTGCTCTCAGGTAAAAGGATAGACGTTGTCCCCTCCTTCCCCTCGGGCTGCGGCAGGAAAAGCCTTCCTTCTCCGAGGCCAAGAACCGAGCTGCTAGAGCCGGGTGTGTGCCAAGGCTAGGAGCAAAGGAGGGGCCCGGCGTCTGTGGAGACCCGGGCGGCCCGGACGCCGCTCGCGGCTCCCTCCTCCGTCTCTCTCCCGGGCCGCGCCGGGGCTGCATTTGCCTGAGCCCCGCCTGGCAGCTGCCGTGAGTCGGACCCCGGCGTCCCCAGACCCTGGACGCCGTCCCGGCCTCATTCCGGGCCAGAGCCTGAGAGACCCCTACCCAGCTCCTTCCTTCTTTCAGGGGCCCCTTTCTGGAGGGCGCGCTCAGCCTCCGCGCCATGTTCCTGCTTCCTCTCTCCCGGTGGCTCCGGCTTCCTGGTTCATTCAACCAGAGACGATCGTCCCATTTGCGGGGGTCCAGATGAAATACAGGGGGCGCTGAGAAGGAAGGATTGCGGTGAAGGGGTTGAATTACACTCACCTGAGGGCTGAAGGCGATGAACCGGCTGCGGGGGCTGGTGGCTGGCGGTCCGGACTTAAAGCGCCGGGCTCTGTCTCTTCCACTATGATGCGCGGTGCTGGTGGCAAAGGAAAACAGAAGGCATCCGCTGTTGCTGAACAGCTCCTCAATTATTCAGATCGCCTCCCCCCACCACACACACACACACACACACACACACACTCCGCACCCCTCCCCGCGGCCTGTCAGTCCTCCCTCCAGCGCGCTAGTCTCCGCCTTCCTGGAGTCACGTGGGCGGCCCAGCCCCTCACATTACAGAGCCCAAGCTTCTCACCAGAAGACCCCGCAAGCACTCACTCACTCACTCATTCACTCACTCACTCGCTATCTGCCACTCTCAACTCCTCTTGGCTTACTGAGCCTCCGGGTGCCACTTCCAGTATGTCAGGTTGTCGGGAGGCTGAGAGGGCCAGAGATGGACAGTTCTCTGTCCTGGGAAAGCAGGAACAGGCAGGACTCTGCAGTGTCTGTCGGTGTGTTGAGTATGCATCTGCCAGCGTCACCAGTCACCACCCCTGCTGGACTTGGCACTGAAGACAGCTGTCTATTCAGACCTGCTTCCTGCCCTCTGAAAGCTTACCCCTCTCCTGGAAGAGCCCTTGCTGTTCTCACATTTCTTCCACCTCTTTGGCATTATTGAAAAGAAAGGATGGGAGAGACTGATTTCCTCTGTCCTCCTAAAAAAGACAAGACTCTACTCTTTCAAAGCTCAAGTAGCCAGAGTCTTTCTTTGTGTTCTCAACATCTGACCTTGGATTTGAGATGTGAAGACCCACCAGGAATTCCAGTCTGTGTGAGCTTGGGTTATTTCACTTCTCCTGGCAGTTCTTTCATCTGGAGAATGACAAGACTGTTATGAGAATTAGGAATGATAATGTTCTTGACATTGCCTAGCCCAGTGCTGTACACATATTGAGAACTCAGTAAATGAGAGTTCTTCCCCTGCCCCTGTTAAGCTAAATTTCAGAAAATAAGAAGGTTGTGATTTGTGCCTGTGGAATGGAGGTGTCTTTTGTAAACTTGGAAAAGGGAATCTGTGAAGTCAGGCTAGACAGATAACCAGGCTCAGTGGAGACAGGAGAGACACAAGGCTTATATTTTTCATTGCTTCTGTTAAGGTGAGTATCCCAGAGCTTTGTTATATCTTCAAAAGATGAGGACCAGATGGTACCAACCTAGGCATGGTTGGCCTCATCAGAGAATGAATTATTTAACGTTCATTGAGTAGACTGATTTAGATGGAAAGTACCTACATGACTTCTTGCATCTTTTGTCCAAGCCCTTACAAAAATGGGAGCTAATAAATGTAACTTCCTGCCCGTGGAAACAAATTCACTGGGCTTGTGTTTGAGAAGAATACTGGCTGAGTGACGCCTGCTCCCTCAGATGGAGCAGTTCAAATCTACCTTTAGGCTGTGGGTTCTAGCTCAGAGACCCTGTCTCTCCCCAGAAGAATGACTGATTAGTGCCAGGACAGCTTTGGTAAGATCACTTAGCTCAAGCTTCTTACTGCCTTGGACTAGCTTCCAGGCCTAAAGTCTTGGCACATCCCAATAATTTAAGCTTATGATAGTAGTGCAAGGTATTTCAGGCACAGGAAGCTGGGAAACACTGGAAGGAAAAGCAAAGAGTAAAAGAATCAGAAATTTGGAGTCTTGATGCCGGCTCTGCCAGCTACTTACGATATGATTTTTGGTAAATCACTCAAGCTTTCAGTCTCATCTTTAAAATGGGAAAAGAATGTCCATCTGCCTTCTCCATGAGATAGTTGAAATGTTCAAATGAAATAACATATGAGAAACCACACTGTGAAAGTAAAGAGTCAACAAATGTAAGTTGTTAATTATGGACTAAAGAAAACCCTACATTTATTCTAGTCCAGATGCATTATGGGCGCGAAAGGCTGAGAAGATGAGATTTGTCATGGAATGGGCAGCTACTGAAATGTCGGTATAGTTCTGTAAGTCTGTGTGTATGCATGTAATTCAAAAGCTATGGTGTTTTGAGTGCTGTATTTTTTTTTCATTTTCACTCTCTTCTGTGATGGATTTTTGGATTGAATCTCATTTCCCCCCCTGGCATTTCAGTTTCAGAACAGCACCAGCCATAATCACAATGGTTACGAGTATTTAATATCTGAGATAAGTTTGTGCCTGTATTTCAGGACAACAGGGTTTAGACTTTTCTGCTTTTGCTAGATAAAGTTTATTTGGATTGGATATTCAAAATGGGTTTGATTTCAAAGAAAAATATTTAGCATACAAGAGCAATTCCTGGTTACTCATCAGTACCTTGAATGGTGAAATGAGTCTCCAATCTACTGCCGATCAACCCAGTGAAATCCACACACAAACCAGAACCTCCTGAGGAGTTTCCTCCACCCTAAAACAGAGTCCAGTTTTTTGGTTTACTATCTTTTAAGATTCTTTAGAAAGTGTCAATCTAGACCTCTTTATATTTAGGGAAACCAAAAAAACAGAAGGCACCAAATACTTCTATACATTTCATGAAAAAAATTGTCCAGATGAGGTAAAATGCTACCTCTTACTCCTAACCACCTCTGCATTGTCATGAGGAAACATGAGAAATAGAAGAATAAGCATGAAATAATTTAATTTTGCCTAAAAAATGGTGCCTTTATAAGCAGTTACTTGGATGAGAATGAATTTCAGAAAATTTTGGACAGTTTCACGAGAAATTGCTCTGGGACTCTGAAAAATTTTTCAAATTAGTTTTTAAAGCCAAACTCAACTTTACACAGCAAAAGGCAGAAAAGGGGGTTTGGGGAACAGAACTTGCATAGATTACAATAGAAAGTTATACCTTAACAACAATTTCTTGATAAGGTTTCCCTTAGGTCCTACTCCTTTATTATAAGCTCTTATCTTTTGCCTGTTACCTGCAGATGCCTTCCAGCTGTTGGTAGAGGGTTATTGAACCAATGAAAAAAAAATGGAGTAGATAAAAATGTAGTTGAGCATTTAGAACCACATACAGAAGAAACAATTGATGCATATCTCAGTTCCAGGGTTAAGCAATGATACTACAGAGTGACTGCTAATTAGATCTGCAAAACACACACCCCAGTTTTCTTGTTCCAACAACTGGAATATGGGAGTTTTGTTTCATTTATTCACCATATTCTTGACACTTGAGATACAGCCATGAACAATGCAGAAATGGTTCCTGCTCTCCTTGGGCTTACAGACTAGTAAAGTGATTCAGACCCTAAACAAGTAAAGAAAGAACTAGAGAGACAAACCATGATGAAAATAAAATAGAGCGATATCATAAGGGGCACCAGTTTAGTTGAGTGGTGGAGAACTGACGAAAGCAAATGCAGGGGCCCAGATGCAAATGTGATAACTCCAAGGAAGGGGCAATGCCCTCTTACTTAAGGCCTTTTGCCTTTAGCAGAGTGATTACTAAAATCCTTTATGATTGGCCTGCTTGGATAGATTATGGTTAGGCCAGATGCCTTAAAAATAATTACTGTTTTTGTCTTATGATTCATGATGATAAGCACTTGATGTTTTCTTCTAGAAGGATCCCAAGCTCATCAATGCCCCTGACTTTTGCCTCTGAGCAGATTCAGAAGCTGAGAAACAGCCTGGACAGAGGCTGGCCTATAGCCCTCCAAAGGGAGAGGTGTTTCTGGGCAGGAGAAGAGAAGACACAGAACCAGATCTCAGCATATTTTAGGCTCACAATAAAGATATGTTGAATAAATAACCTGCTGCTAGGTTCCTACCAATTGGACTGGGAATTTATAAGCTAATGACCTGTGAGTGATTATTCTCTGGGTATCTAAATTTCAAGAGGAAGAAATGGGGTGCTGACCTAAGCATGTTCATTTCATTCTGTCCAAATTTACAATGAGATATAGCACTCTCCCCACTCCCACCCCATGCAGAGAGAATAAAGTTACTTAATGATGAAGGTATGGAGAGAAGTCAGGAGTGTCAGACCAATGAAATTCCCTGACATAGAAGAAAATGTTAAAGCAAACACTTCTTCTCATTTATTATATTTTCTTTAAATCCATTCACTTTTCTACTTAAATTAACTTGTTTTAAAAAGGCTTGTAGGTTCCGGCCGAGTGGCTCAGTTGGTTAAGAGTTGGCTTAAAAGTGTGAGCTCTGAGTAACAGGGCCACCGGTTTGATTCCCACATGGGCCAGTGACACTGCGCCTGAGCTGAGCTGCTGCTGATCTGCTAACAGGTGGCAGGATGGCTCAGCTGGTGAGAGCACATGCTCCTAACAAGACTGCCTGTTCAATGGTGAGCTATGCCTGCCTGCAACTAAGACTGAACATGGCACCTTGAGCTGAGCTGCCACCCGGATGGCTCAATGGATAGAGCATGCGCTGTTAACAACAAGGCTGCTGGTTGACTCCCGCATGGGATGGTGGCTATGCCCACCCGAAATTAAGGTTGAACACAGCACCTTGAACTTAGAGGCCACGAGCTGCTGACGGGCAGCCAGATGGCAACTGGCGCCCTCCACAACTAAGATTGAAGAACAACAACTTGGCTGGTCCCCCTCCTCAATTCCCCAACACTGTTCCCTTCCCCCAACCCCCCAATTAAAAAAATAAAAAAGGTTTGTAACACTACTTTAAATAGAAAACTGGTATCTGTTATCATAAATACAAGATAACCATTTAAATAAGCTCATGAAAGTGAAACAATGTTATTATAGTCAAGCTAATATTATTGCCTGTGCAGGAACATGAGGTTTGCTTTCTCCTTATTAAAAAAGAAAATTAGCAATTGTTAGCGAGGTATTAAGACATTGGCATCAAACAGAGACTTTCTCCATGAAGTAATCAGGAAGATTAAAAGACAAGTGGAAAAGGAATAATTTCCTCACTTTGTGATTATAGGCCATTTATTGCTGAGTCCTAGTATGACCTAAATCAATATTTCTCCTAACTTTAATGTGCATGGAAATCATCTGGGAACCTTGTTAAAAATGTAGAATTAGATTCAGTAGGTCTGGGTGGGACCCAAGGACTTGTATTTCTAACACAATCTCAGTGATGCTGGTGCCAACTGGTTCTTGGACCACTCTTTGAGTAGCAAGGATCTAAAGTGATGCTATGTGTCCCATGTTTTGGTATATGCTGTCTTATTTTAGAGATGAGAAAAGTGAGGACTTAGAGTTTGT